CGCCCAAGGACCCGCGCGGCCGCCGCCCATGGATTTCACCTAGCGCCCGGCCATGGCGGCGCAGTGCTGCTGCCGCAAGGCGCCGGGCCCCGAAGCCGCTCCCGCCCGCCCGCCTCCCGAGCCGCCGCCCGCCCTGGACGTGGCCTCGGCCTCCAGCGCGCAGCTCTTCCGCCTCCGTCACCTGCAGCTGGGTCTGGAACTGCGGCCCGACGCGCGCGAGCTGGCCGGCTGCCTAGTGCTCGAGCTGTGCGCGCTGCGGCCCGCGCCCCGCGCGCTCGTGCTCGATGCGCACCCGGCCCTGCGCCTGCACTCGGCCGCCTTCCGCCGCGCCCCCGCCGATGAGGCGCCCTGCGCCTTCGCCTTCCCCACCTGCGGGCCCAGGCCCCAGCCGCCCCCGCTGCCCGCCTTCCCCGAGACGCCCGGCGCCGAACCCGCCTGCTGCCCGCTGTCCTTCAGGCTGGACCCGTTCACCGACTACGGCTCGTCGCTCACGGTCACGCTGCCGCCCGAGCTGCAGGCGCACCAGCCCTTCCAGGTCATCCTGCGCTACACCTCGACCGATGCCCCCGCCGTGAGTCTCGCCCGGGTGGGCGCGGGGCAGCGGGCGGTGCGCAGGGAGAGCTGCGCCAGGCCAGGGGCCAGTCACCTACACCCCGCACCCGGGGCACCTGCCCTGGACTCCTTCCCAGGCGCCCTGTGCTTCCCAGCTGTCACCTGCGCGCCCTTAGGAACTCTGGGTGGAGCCCTGGGTACAGGTCCTCTGGGCAGCAGGGCAAGGGACAGCGTGGCACACGGGGAGCCCTCCTGTCCAGACGCTCTGCCCCTGTGGGCACAGCGCACTTGCCAAGTCGGACACCTGCTGGAGCTGGCTTTTGACAGGTGGGCCGAGGGTGTCAGCTGCTTCGGGGCCTCCTTGCGACCTAGGCTTCGGAGGGGTGTGGACAGCCGGGCTTGTTCTCTGGAGGGGACTCAGGGAGTTCCGGTGGAAGGCAAGAGAGGAACCAGATAGCCAGGGGCTTGGCTTTGGGCTTCTCTAGCTGGACTGGCGAGCTGTTGGGGTCCTGAGCCCTACAGTTCCAACACAGACACTAGGTTCTGCAGGGCACCCACTGTCTCAGAGAGCCCAGAGCAGGGACTGCAGCTGCCCAGCCACGGCGCGGCCTGCAAGACAGCAGGGCTTTCTATGGCTCACGTGTGGCGGCGGTTTGTGCCAGGTCCTCAGGCGGCATGGAGAGCGCATGTCATGACATCCAGCGTATACGCGGAGCACGCACACAGCTCTGGAATCCTGTAAGGGTCCATCTGTGGCTGCCCGATCACCCAGATTGACAGGCCAGGAGCCACCAAGACCCCAGGTGACATCTGGACAGAAAGAGTCCAGGCCAGGCTCACAGCTGTGGGCTTCTGGCCCCCTTCCCAGGAGCCCTGACCAAGGCTTGCTGCCTCACCTCCTCCTAGAGCCCCAAGGGTGTGCCAGCTGCTGGGCTCTGCCAGAGTGCCACCCAGACGCCAAGTGCAAACCGATGGGGACCCTCCTTGATCTCCACCTGTGAACTTGGACTCCATACATGTGTTCTTCCCCCAGCTGGCAGCGTGGTGGGACCAGGGCCAGGGAGCAAGGGTGGCCATTGTCCTGGGCATCTCTCGGCCAGGTCAGTGGCTTCAGGCAGGGAAGGGCAGCTGTAGGCTGTGACGCTTGGCTTAGGCTTAGAGTGCCCGCTCCCGGTGTCCCAGCCCTGGTTCCCCCGGAGTGGCTCTGGGGTTGGTAGATGGGGGACAAGGGGCCGGACTGTGAGCTGACCACTTGCAGAAAGTGCCCTTTGACCTCCGATGCCCCTGCTGTGAGTGACCGCTGCCAAGCTGGGGTCACACCGCTGAACCAGGGACCAAGTGGGAGCCACCCGTGTCTCTTGGGCAGGGCAGTGGGGAAGCCTGAGGGGTGCCATGGGGCACTGGGAAGGACAGTGCCAGGCTTTCGGGCCTGGGGGCCTGTCCTCCCAGCATGGGCCAAGGAGCACCTGCCCCTGCCAGTCTACTCCGCACAGGTTCCTGGGTCCCCGGCCACAGAGCACAGTGTCTGGGGTAGGCCAGGGCTGTGTTCGGGAAGATGCTACCCGGGCAGATATCTGAATGTC